GAATTCAGATATGGGATGAAATCGGATAGGGATGAACGGATTTAAGAGTTTTTAAGAGTTTTAAGAGTTTTTAAGAGTTTTAGCCAAATGCTTTATAATATAGTATAGATTATAGATAATATTAAAATATTATAAGTATATATTCTTTTGATAAATTTTCAATAACACCCCTTGTATTAATTAACTTTTTACAAACTCAAAAGACATACATTTTGTTACAAGAACTTTATAATATATAGAGTACAATTTTAGTCTCTATAGTTTACACGAATCATCTTAAGTGGTCCTTAGACTTCAATAACTATAATTATCGTTCCCATTGTTTACATTTTGTATTGAAAATCATCACCTTACTTAACGGATTAATCTAACAGAGTTAGTGACCAGAGACTATTTTCAAAATAAAATGTAAATAGTAACGACGACAATTGGAATTATTGAAGTTTAAGAATCACTTTCAGATATTTATATAAACCACATGGACCAAAATTGTAGTTTTCTCTAATTTATGAATTGAATTACATTTTCACGTATTTTCATTTTTACCTTCAACAATATTTTAATGTCATTTCTGACGTCATAAACATGACGTGCTTTAACAAAGAACAAAATATATAGGAACGGTGGAGATTGTTTCTTAAAGAGCAAGCAGATGGAAATATAAGGAGGGTTCTAGAGCCTTCTTTAGTATATTTTTTTTTATCAGATCAAACAATCTGGACCGTCCATATCTACCTCCTGAAATAAGACCCCAACTTCTACCCCAAATTCCAAACCCCTCTCGCCGAACGCACACGAGTCAAGTCTTCCTATTTCGATCTCTTTTCCGATCTACTTCCTCGTAGGTGGGCTTCTATGTTCATCTCACTGAATTCCATACGTTTTTGTTTGCTGTATATATTGCGTGATTGATTGATGTGTTCTATCTGCTTTTGATCTCATTTTGTTTGTGTGTGTTAGATTTGTAGGGAGTATTGCAGATCGAAGGAGAACAACAGGATGTTCGGAAGAGCACCGAAGAAGAGCGATAATACCAAGTACTATGAGATCCTAGGGGTTCCCCAAAATGCCTCCCAAGATGATCTCAAGAAGGCTTATCGGAAAGCCGCCATTAAGAACCACCCTGATAAGGGTGGAGATCCTGAGAAGGTGCTACTCTCTGATCCTAATTTAATTATCTGTTTCTATATTGGCTTTCTGTATCGGATTACTTCTTGTTTAATTGTATTTCTTTTATAGTTTGTTTAATTTTTAGAACGTAATGATACCAGAGGATGATCGGATATGATTTTGTTGGGGAGGTTGTTGCTTGAGGAGGATAGTTAATTATATTCCGCCACTCGATGAGAATTGTCTATAGCAATTTTCTAATAGGATGGGTAACTATAGGCCTAATTGTTGTGGTGTTTCGATAAATGGCCGGTTTTAGTTGTTATTTTTTTGGTCAATTTATAATGTTATAGACACTCGATCCTTATGAGAGATATATAGTATAATGCTTAAGCTGTCCTTAATGTTGGACAGAGTTACGACTTTGCATTGATAATGTTGTCAATAATGAAAAGAAACAGCATATCTTCGTTGCTAAACAACCTGCATCTTAGCGTTTAATCATGATAACATGCTGTTAGGGTTCTGATGCTGAAATCAGTGAAGAGATTTCTTTTGGTTAACGTGGATTCTGACCGCTTTGTGGTACAAACAATTGGACTGTCAATTATGTTTTTGATTTGTATCTCTAGTAATTGAATTGGCCACCTACATTTAAATGTCAGCCTGTTTCCCCTGGCCCTCCTCACCCTAAAAAAAACCGAGAACAGGAATCCACTTAGAATAAATTTCTAATGAGGGAATCGAAGAACAAATTTCTAGAGAGGGAATTTAAAACCAAATTACTATTTTTCAAGTCTATAAATGTAATCTAACAACGTTAGTATTGTTGAGTTGTTAGTATTGTTGACATGCTAACTTTTGTGTTAGGACACTTGTTCCAGGACAGGAATTGTAAATAGACTATGTATTGGGCAAAGGGTGTATTGCTTTTTTCAAATATTGGACATCAATACCTTTATTACCTTTGTCTTGATATTTGTCAAATGGCGTCTATCTTGTAGTTTAAAGAGCTTGCCCAAGCATATGAGGTACTGAGTGACCCAGAGAAGCGTGAGATATATGATCAGTATGGTGAGGATGCCTTGAAGGAAGGAATGGGTGGTGGAGGTGGTGGTCATGACCCCTTTGACATCTTCCAATCCTTCTTTGGTGGCAACCCTTTTGGAGGTAAGAATGCTTGGCCTACAAGTCATCCTGTTCCAGTTGTTAAGTTGCTGGGGTTGTGTTTATTGTTGGATTCACTTGGAATCTTTTGTACCCAGGTGGTGGTGGTAGCAGCAGGGGCCGAAGGCAACGAAGGGGAGAAGATGTCATTCATCCTCTCAAAGTTTCTCTTGAGGAGTTATATAATGGAACTTCTAAAAAACTCTCTCTTTCACGTAATGTATTATGCTCTAAGTGTAAGGGGTGA